AATCAACCAATATTTAAGGAAGAAGGAAAGGACTAGGCTCTAAAAAAAATGTGCCACATTCAATCCTTTCAACTACAGAAAGAAACAAATATAATTCTCCCTATTATACTAATAAGGAAGTCAGTTAGTAAGTGGCAAAACTAAGATTTGAACACTGGTATATGTGGACTCAAAACTTACTTTCTTTTCACCACACAATATACTATCTTCAGAGGAGAACTTAGCATTAGCAGCAGGAGCACAAATTTAGGCATTCTGTCCTTTACTTTTAAACTCACAAAATCTGGGCACATAATTAAATGTCTGCCTTTCAATTTTATCTTCTGAAAAATTGAGTTGGTTAGATCTTGAGATTTCTCTTCAGCAAAGAAGTTCATAATTTTATAAAAGTGCCACATTTAGTGATATGTAAACTCACAAAACATTTTAAAACAGCAGAAAACCTTTTCTGTTTAAAAACAAAACAGAAAACTTGAACATAAAAAAAAGATTTTCCTTCCCATTATCAAAGGAAAGACTAGTATCTAATTTTATTAGCAAGTATGATTAAGCAAATGTTTGAGAACAAAACATCAACCTTAAGTATTTCAAGATGTCAATTTTAACACCTACACTTTCAATAATGAAAATGAAAACTCAGAATCCTGATACACCTACAGAATTATAATCAATACAGATTTACTGAATTTTATTTCATGCTGAAACTGCAACCAGGATATTTTTGTTTTAAATATCAACATGAAAACTTGATATTAAAACCCGCCTTAAAACCTGCCACTGGTTTCCTATTATCCTTCAGTGACATCCAAAATCTTTAGCATGACTCAACAAAGTCATGTGATTTGGCTCCTCTTTTTGGTGCTATCCAATGCTATTCTTCCCCTTGCTCTTTTTTCAACTTCATCCAATACACATTTTCTTTCACTCTAGGCGCAGTGTTTCCCAAAGTGTAGTACACATACCCCCAGGAGTATGGGAACAGTTTGGTGGGGGTACGAGTTTCACCCGTGTTTGGCAGGGATATGCACTACACCGTGCTTAGCTGCGCCTAATTCTACGTTCTCATGAGTACGAGAGGTACTCAGTGTTACGAAAATTATAGAAGGGGTACACATATGTCAAAAGTTTGGGAAACACTGCTTTAGGGCTTCATCCTAACTGCTCTCTAAAACCTAGAATGCTCTCATAGACCTCCATTCCCCTCCTTTTGACCCAAACTGTCTTTCATTCTTGAAGGCTGAGATCAAATGTTATCATGACAGGAAAGCCTTTTCTGATCCCCCAGACATATATTTTGACAACATTCTGGACTTCACAACACTTGTAATTACCTGTTCAACTCTTGTCTTCTCTGTTAACTGGTATACAATATGAAGATGGTCATTTCACATCTTGTTTCCTACTATTTTCCCAATATCTAACACCTTGTTTAGCACAGAGGAGATTAAATAATAAATGTATCCTGGATGAATACATTCAAAATGGGAGGCAAAGTCCAAAACCATGAGATGCCTTACCTAAAAAGTTCTATACAAATTTGAGTTACATCTTACACTTAGCTCTTCTTCAGATGTTCCTCCCTCAAACAGATGCCATTTAGCAATTATACAACTTTAAAGCAAAAAATACCTCCAGATCATGAACCTATTCTAGTTTCACAAAACCAAGGTTGGAAACCACAGGTCTTAAATAATTGAAGCTTTAAAGCTCATCATTTAAAAGAATTCACCTGAAATACAATTGAAGGGATAGAAACTTGGATAAGGACTTAATTTTACCACACCAATGTACATTGTAGAAGGACCAATCACAATTCCTACAACTGCAGTGCCTTATTTATTCCAAAAGTGACGACTGCAGTGCTAGTCATCTGAGTAGGCTACATGATACCTGGAATACGCTTTGTTAAAACTAAAGAAAAATTATAGCCCTGGCTGGATTGGCTCCATGGACAGAGCCTGGGACTGTGGAATGAAGAGTCCCAGGTTCAATTCCAGTGAAGGGCACATCCCCACTAGGGGGCGTGCAGGAGGCAGCCGATCAATTATTCTCTCTCCTCGTTAATATTTCTATCTCTCTCTCCCTTTCTCTCTGAAGTCAATAAAAATATATTTCTTAAAAAAAAAAAGAAAATTATAAGCATAAATACTAAGTAACTATAACTAATTTTAGCTTAATGGGGGAAAAGGGGAAATGGCAGTAAAGTTAAGTAATTCAAAAACTGAAGGCTTAAAAAGAATACTATTTTGCCGAAACCGGTAGAGCGTCGGCTTGGGGACTGAAAGGTCCCGGGTTCGATTCCGGTCAAGGGCATGTACCTTGGTTGCAGGTATATCCCCAGTAGGGGGTGTGCAAGAGGCAGCTGATCGATGACTCTCTCTCATCAATGTTTCTAACTCTCTCTCTCTCTCCCTTCCTCTCTGTAAAAAATCAATAAAATATATATTAAAAAAAAAGAATACTATTTTGACTCATAACATTTTTTAAAGTTTTCTGTTCACCTAAAACAGTGTTAATTATAAACAAGGCAGCATTCAAAGATTTGCCTAACACATAATCATTATTTTCTTCAATTCAGAAATGAAGAAAAAGAGGCACTGAGTTAAGCAACTTACTCAATGTTATACAGCTGGTAAGTGCCAGAGGCAGACTCAAATGCAGCTATTCTAGCTCCACAGTTCTCCCTCTCAACCACTATACAACAGTGATGCTCACTCTCCTTCCAAATCCCTGAAATAGAGCTTCAATCTGTACCACCCCACCCCAGTAAAACTAATTTTCCTAAGGTCACCAATGAAGTCTACCTTGCCAAATCAAAGGGTCACATATCTGCTGCCATCTTTTTCACCCATTCTGCAGCATCCCATCAAGTTCACAACTTGCCTCTTGTCATATATTCCTTTAGTGACATATATCCCATTTTCTTCCTACCACAGACCTGGGCTCTCGTCTCTTGCATATCTACCCATTTTTCTAGGAAGTCTCCCACATTTCCATGGCTTTAAATATCATCTACGTGACTCCAAATTTCTCTAGTCCTGGCCTAAGCTCTAGAGCACGTGTCAAACACAAGGCCCGCGGGCCAAATCCGTCCCGCCAGGCCTTGCAATGTGGCCCGCATCGCGCTGTCATCACTGCACTCCGCTGCGTTCCATCACAATGACAGTTTATGACTGTTCAGTAAACCATTCGGCCCGTGATTTAGGCTGGATTTTAGATTTTGGCCCCTTCTCTGATTGAGTTCGACACCCCTACAGAGTCATATAACCAACTACCGGTACCTATTTGACATCTCACTTGATGTAACCAACGATCTTACCCTCCTCCCCTCAACCTTTTTTCTCCCAGCCTAGACCATCACCCATCCAGTTGCTTAGGCTAACTTCTTAGTCATCATCCTGACTTTCCTTTCCCACATCTCCCACATAAAATCCATCAGCAAGTCCTATCAAATCCACTTATAAAATATATTTAGTTCTGTCTCCATTATCACTTTAATGCAAATTACCTACATCTTTGCCTACAATACCTTTCACAATAGTCTCCTTGCTTCCATGTTTGCCCCCTTAATCTCTACAAAGCAGCCTAAATTAAAAAATCAAATCAGTCTTTTGCTTGCTTTAAATCTTCTAATGTATTCCATAATAATTTAAATAAAATCCTAGCTCTTGAACATGTCCTCAAAGATGCTACATGACTTGGCCCCTATTTCTAGACCTTCATGTCCTTCCATTCTCTCCCCCGCCACAAGATTCCTTTGAGCCACAACTACCTTCTTTCTCTTCCTGGAACACACCGTGATCATTTCTGCTACAGAGCCATTGCACTTGCTGTTCCTCCCACAAGAAACATTCTTTTTCAGACTTTCACATAGATGGTTCCTTCTTCCAAGGTGTTGCTCAAATGTCACCTCCCCTGAGAAGCCTTCTAATCAGTCTTTTACAAGATCCTCTATTATTAACAACCGTCGCTATTCTTATTACCTGAAGTTACCTTATTTGCTTACTATGTCTTGTCAACTTTGGAATTTGAAAGCTCCATTCCCCAACGCTTCCCACAGTGCCTACCAAGTAGGTGCTTAATAAATTTATTGAATGAGTGAATTTTCCCCAGTGCACTTTAAGTTTATTATAAATCAACCAATTTTATAAAGCTCGTGGCCCGTCATATGTTTTTTATGTCGTCAAAGACAAATCCTTAAAACACTCCTTAATTTTTCCACTCCAAAGCGTTGCAGCACTCTTGAGTCCCCTCCCCCAAAAAACACACAGTCCATCTACAACACCCCACTCAAATCTGCTAACTATTCCAAATGGGCAGACTGCCTTTCCTCCTCCTCCTCTCCAGGCGAACGACCATGTAGGTGGGAAAGGGGGATTTTACTGAGCATCTCAGCACCTGTTACATCTTCAGCTAGAAGAGGTGCCCGTGAGCCAGCCTGCACAGGGGAGACGTGGCTTTTCTTTCAGGGATAGATGGCATTTAGGTAAAACCTAAGTGGCTTGGACTAGAACTATCCAAATCTTTTATAAGGACCATTCAGTTCGTTTAAATAAGCATGTCTATAGGCGGGATATTATGATCGTATTCACTTAAAAAAAAAAAAAGAAAAAGAAAAAGAAGAAGCCGTCGCCGATTCGGGGACCTTCAGGAAACACAGAGAGTGATTGAGTGAGTGAGTGAGTGAGTGAGTGAGTGTGTGTGTGTGTGTGTGTGTGTGTGTGTTGGGGATCGAGCTACCTATAACGTGAAGACAAGAACAGGAGACAGCGGTACAAAAACCAACTTAGCGATACGATAAAGGCTCTCCGGGACATGCAGACCCCGGGGACGGGGGCAGAAGCTGAGGAGAAACCACAAGAGCCCCCGAGCCCTCCTCCGCTCACCGCTCCGGCCTCCGGCGCAGGCATTTGGGGCAACAGCATGGGTCTGTGCCCGCCAGTCTCCCACCTCCCTCCCTCTCTCCCTGCAAGGGGACGGCGACAGCCCCGGGTACTCACATGGGCTCCAGAGTCTTGCTGAGCCAGGACTTCAGTGCCTCGAAGTTTTCAATGATCATCTTAGAAACCATCCACGGCGGCCCCCGGGCCCGTCACTCTCCTCCGCCCGCCCAGGTCGCGGCCGCTACGGCCGCCGCTGCCCCCGCCCCCTCCTCCGCGCGCCGCCCGCGTGGGCCGCGGTGGGAGGCGCCGGTGGCGGGCTCCCGCGAGCCGGGCCGGCGAACAGCTCCGCGGGGGCCGCCGCAGGCCGCGAGTCCGCGGGGTGCCAGGAGCTTCTCCCCTCCCCGGACCCCCGGCCCGGGCTGAGGCAGCAACGGCTGGCCCGAGCCCTCCCCCTTCCCTCCACCCCAGCCGATCTTTCGGAGCCGGGAGCGCGGCACGCGCCTAGACCCGGGCTTCCTCTCGGCCTCGGGACCCGCCGCTTGTCGGAAACGCACAAGAGGCAAAATGAAGGAAGCGAAGGCGAAGAAGCAGTTCAATGTGAGGAAAGATTCGGGGGGTCTCCCCGGCTCCCAGCACCCCCAAGAAGATGGCTGCCGGCAACTCTCGCGAGAGTTAAGGAAGTCTCGCGATGACCCGGGGCCTGCTGGGAAGACACGTCGGACTCTCGGAGAGCGAAACCGTATGGAGTGCACTGGTTCGGGCTTTTGCATATTTGCGGCACTTGTGCCTTTTTTTTCCCTCTTAAGGAATAAAGATTTTACTTTTGTTTTGTTTTTTTCACTAGAAGGAAAAAATCGATGGTTTCAAGAACAGCAGGAGCCCCAGCTCGTCTTCTGAAACGGCCGCGGCGCGTCGGCTGGAACTAACTCTGGGCCTGGAGCGCCCCCTGAGAGCCTCCCGCCGAGGGGGGGGGGGGGTGTCCCCTCCGGCCTCGCCGGGTGTCTCCTCGGGTTGCGGGCGCCCTCACTGTCACACCCTCCGTGTGCTGTGCTGTGGTTGGGGAAGCGCAGGCTGGCCTAATTAACCCACTGAGACTTCCGGAGGATTTTAGTGTCTTGTCCAAAATGACCCGGCTTGTGGGCAGAGCACTAATAACCTAGGATTGCTTCAAATGAAAGGTGAGAAAACCTTGGCAGTTCTCCAATAGCTTCCAACCGTCTGAAACGTTAGGGCTTATCCGTAGCTGACGATAAGAAAAGTGGTTGTGTTTTTTAATTTATTTTTTTTTTCATTTAGAGTGATTCATTCCCCATTGCGTAGCTTCAAAAGAGAGAACCTTCATATCAGCATCCCGAATATAAACGTCCCTTCTCCCTGGGGGTCAAATAAGTTTGATTTCTGCCTGAGTTGTTTTACTGCTATTTACGTTAATGTGCTAGGTGGAATTTTGCAACAGGTCAAGTGCCCATAAACAAAACAATTCACAATATAGACACTTGGAGTAAGTAGACCAATAAAAGAGTTATTTATGACAGCCCCTAAATTGTCGTGAAGAATGCTAAGTTTGTAATTTCCTGGAGTGACGTGTCCTAAAGCAGTAAGTGGAAAAGATTATCAAGTAAAGAAAGCTAGATATTTGTTTTCAAATACAGCATATAGTATAGGATACAAATTAAAATTCAGCTACGGAATAACTAGGGTGTTTAGTAAAGCAATTTGGCTAAGTGAAGTAAGCCAAACATAAAAGAACAAATATTGTATGACTCCTCCTAATGTGAGGTACCACCTAGAGTAGCCAAACTCCTAGAGAAAAAAAAAATAGTAGTTGCTAGGGGTGGGAGGAGAGGGGGAGAATTGGGGAGTTATAATTTGGGTTAAAAAGATCTGGAGATAGGCTAGGTTGACGGTTCACAACAATATGAATGTACTTACTGTTGAACTGCACATTCAAAAATAGTTAAAATGATAACATTTTATATGTATATTTTACAGCAATAAAAATACTTTATAAATTTAATGTTACAAGGGAAAAGGTAATATCTTATTTATTTAATAAAATTGTCATTGGATGAGTCCACCAGTGTTTTCAACCTCAACAGTTCCATTACTCTGGCCATTCATTCCAGATGGCCAAAGCTAATCATTCCACTGCCAAATATTGTATACTTCAGGAAACAGATATGCTTATCCTCCACTTTTCCAAATATTTATTCACATCATTTCCACAGGGAATGTTTTTACTTCTTTCTCTGGAAGCTCAAACCTTACACATACTTCTCTCTTAATAACACTGCTAATGTTTGTTTGAAATCTCTTATTTTCTCTAAACAATAGCAACAACCTTTTAATCTCTCTGCCTCTTAGGTTGCATCCATATCAGTTCATATTCAATTACCTTCATCATCAGTGCCTTTTTTTAAAAAAGTTTTTATTTGAGGGAGAGGGAGAGGGAGAGAGTGAGAGAAACATCGTTCGTTTGCCTCCTGTATGCAGAGAGAGAGAGAGAGACATTGTTCATTTGCCTCCTTTGTGCATCCTGACCAGGGACACGAACCAACCCCAGCATGTGTCCTGACTGGGAATTGAACTGGTGATCTTTTATTTTATATTTTTATTAGAGTCCCGATGCACGAAATTCGTGCAAGAGTAGGCCTTCCTCCCCAAGGCTGCTGGTACCGGTTCCCTCCAGCACCCGGGACCCAGGCTTCCCTCACAGCCCCAGCTTCGTCCAGATGGTCCTCCGGATGGACATCTGGCTAATTAGCATATTATACTTTTATTATTATAGATTTTGCTTTGTCTTGTACCTTCTTAAATATCTTTAACTAGAGGTCCCTCTGCCTGGCCTGCGGGGATTGGGCTGAAACTCATCTCTGGGCCCAAGGTGCAGGTGAAGGAGATTTGAGGCCCACCATGTCCCAGCAGCAACCTAACCTGGGTGGATTCCGCAAGGTAATGGGCTCCCTCCTCTACTAGTTGGAGTGTCTGCCTCCTGGTGGTCATTGCACATCATAGCTACCTGTTGGTAGATAAATAGTTTACAATTAAAAATTGGGAGTGACCTCGTCCAGTGGTTCAGTTGGTTGGAGCGTCATCTTACATTATGGAGTATCAGGTTCCATATCTGGTCAGGCTGCATACGGGAGGCTGAACTGGTGACCTTTTAATGCATGCATGGAACAACACTAAACCAAGTGAGTGTCACTGGCCAGGACCATCACCATTGCCCTTAACATCTTTGTGAAACTTGAATTTAAATCATGTCACATCCCTACTTAAAATCTTTATCAACTTCCACATTGTCTTCAGGATAAAAATTCAAATTCTTTAACAGCCTGTAAAAGACTTTACACAATCAAACCCCTCCCTATTTGCCTTAGAGACTTCTTTCAGTGCCTTCCAGCCTTTGATCCAGCCATCCTGAACTATTTCATGTTCCTTAAAAGAAGTGTGTTCTCTTTAAACTGAGGCATTGCAAAATGTGTTTCCCTCCTTTTCACTGGACAGGATCCTACTAATCCATCAAAGTCAGTGCAGTACCTTTGGATGCCCATCCCTGACCTCCCTGCTCTAACGCAAAAGCCTCTCTGAGGTTTTCTCATATCAGCCTGTGCTAGCTTCTATTATAGCATCCATTACTTTATTTTTACAATTATCTAATTATCTGTTCCTTAGTAAACAGTAGTTTTGAACCTACTGCTCCAAGCACAGTCAGTTCTCTGTTCTCTATTTTTTGAATGATCAAATGAAGCCCTACCACTTCTATGAAATCTTCCCTGACCAATGTAGCTAATTGCAATCTCTTATTCTAAATCCATGATACAATGTTTATTATCACTCCAAGGTTAGTCATCAGTGCTGCCTAGCATACTTCTCTTCCTCAACCATAAACATGTATCCTTCATCATTTCAGTGATTCATCTTTGATTTTGCCTTCAAGAGTGATAATTAGTTAACATAATCAGTGCTATTAAGGAAAGACTAAAATAACCCCAATAAGCTACTTTCTTTATTCAGTAACAAACATTTCAGAATGGCTCGTTTTAGGTTACTGACTTGACATTTTCCAACACACCATGCTCTTTGGAAGCCCCATGACTTGTTAATGCTGTTCCCTTGGCCTGGAATGACTTTCTTCATTATTCAAATACCTGAGCAATGAAAGTAGTTACCTCTTGGTTACTACCTATAGAATGGGAATTAAAACATTTTATTTAGTTTCTCATCTGTCTCCCTAACTAGATTATGAGCTCTTTAGAGACCAGGACCCAACCTTATTTCTCTTCATATTTCCTTCACTGAGTACAATGTCTGGAACTAAAATAGATAGATAGATAGATAGATAGATAGATAGATAGATAGATAGATAGATAGATAGATACGTACTTCATTTTAAATGAAGGGAAGTAGACACAGGAGAAAATATTTTGGGTAGGTAAGTTATAATGATATAGTTCCTAACCTATATAAATATATCCTTATGATTTACTTAGCTGCCCTGATCCTAGGAATATTCTTCAGAGTGTACTTAATTCCTTAGGTTCTTCCATTTATCTCTCCTAGCTGATGGATATAATCTTTCTTTCTCTCCCCCCTCATTCTCTCTCCTTTAAATATATTTTTATTGATTTGAGAGAAGAAGGGAGAAGGAGAGATAGAAACATCAATGATGAGGGAGAATCGTAGATCGGCTGCCTACTGCACACTCCCTTCTGGGGATCAAGCCCGCAATCTGGGCATGTGCCCTTGACCAGAATGGAACCCAAATCCAGGGCCCATCAGTTTGCAGGCTGATGCTCTGTCCATTGAGCCAAACCTTATGGGTTACTCTCAATGGTGTTTTGAGGGTCTTGTTTAAAAATTCAGTTTGCATTTCAGCATCACAAAGATACTCTATGTTTTCTTCTCTTTGTTTTACGGTTTATTGCTCTCTCCAGAGAATCACATTTAGGTCTTTATTTTCTTTGGAATACATTCATATTTATGGTGTAAGGTGGGAATCTAGCTTACTTTTTCTCCAAGTGACAAACTAATTTTTCTCTATAATTCTACTTCTGTCTCCCCTTGATATTTGATGGATGTCACCATTATCATATCTTCATATTTTCATTTATAGGTGGCTCTAGTTCTGTCCTCTTCAATTGGTCTCTGTCTATGACTACACCGGTGCCATGTTTTTATATACCATCGTCTTCGACTATCTTAATCCTAAATAATATCGATAAAAGCATAATATGTTAAGTATCCAATCAATCAGTTGACCTCTTGACCAGTCACTATGACATGCACTGACCACCAGAGGACAAACTCTCCGACCGGTAGGTTAGCTTGCTGCTGGGGTCTGGCAGATTGGGACTGGGCAAGAGGGCGGACATGCCCTGGAGCCCTCCCGTGGTTCCT